ACAAGTATCTGACATTAAAATGGAAATAAAGAGGAACAATAAAAGAATAACAAGTGTTACTTCCTGCAAACATCAGGTAATATGAGAATAAATAAATAAAAGTACCTTGTTCTGGAAAAAAAACAGATGGGGTGTTATGAGTTAATGAGAGAAGAATTGAATATGAGTGAATATCTCAGTTTTAACCCCACCCCTCCCTCCTTCCCCCTCTCTCATCATTATGATGATGGGTATGATGAACGCACAATCCAAATAACAGAGTGGTGGCGTTAAACTTTGTATTTAAATAGTTTGGTGTATTGCCTGAATGTCATTTTTTTTGGAATTGCCATCAAAGAGCTGTCATCATGTTTGCCATGCAACAACAGGGGACTAAACCATTGTTTAATGGCACATAATCTATTATGCAAATGTAGGCCATTAGAAAGCAGTAGAACACAACAAAAATGTGCAGTGGGATTTTATAATAATGAATACGGTATTACAACCAAAAAAATTCATAATGAAGCTAAATTGATTATGCAATGAATTACCACAAATTGTATGATATATTGGCTTCACGCGGGACCACTAGTACCGGTACTTCATCCTAGTACCGGTACTTCATTTTACAATGAATTAACATATAAACTCAAGTTTGATGATACAGTGGCTTTATGTGTGACCCCCTAAGAGGTCACACATCCTGGTACTTTCTTACAACAACAAATTAACTATTTACCAATAATACCCTGAAAAAATTCCTTGATATAGTTTTCTTTAAATGCTATGTACTTGCATGTGTAAGGGTAATTATCAACAATCAATCAACAGCAGTACAAGAAATAAAATTGTTCAAAACGTCTATGTGATAATTTGAGGCTATGACGTTTGGTTTAGTTATTTGCATAACGATATTAATACATTGTATGGAACATCTCGTGAGTATTTAGACTCAGTTCCAGGCCTAGCAGTTGAGCAATAAACACCTTGGCTACAAGTGCTCCTCTCCAGTGTGTTATTCTCCTCCCAGATTTGGTGACCAATACTCACTTGGTTCACTCTACCTTGAGAAGTCTATTTTCAGTTTACAGTCTCATAGCCAGAATTTAAACCACCAAATTTTGTCATTTTTATGTTAACTAACTATAAAGCAAACACAGAATCCAAAACTGCTTGATAAATTTGGTCAAATATTTTGAATGTTGATGATTTTTTTACAATATCAAGAAGATTTTGACAGAGATTTGTAACAGAGTACGAAACTAGATTATTTAATTACATAACATGTGATTCAGTGTCAGCATTCCAAAGTACAGGTTATTTCACATATATTACATGTACCATTGGTAGAAACGATAATAAATATACGCAACATTGGTGACATGCAACAAAGATCACACAAGACAAACATACATGCAAAATGTGGATTTCTAGTATCTTTACATATTTCTTGAATATTATAAGAATCCACAATTTTTTGTTATCAAACTTTCATGGTTGCCAATAGTGTATATAGCATTCTGCCATGTTAAAAAGTTGATTGAAACTCTGAATGGATCTTCGTTGTATATCACCATAAACAAAAGTTGCAAAACTTCCATTTTTATCTACCCATGGCGTTAACTAATCATACACCATTAACCATGCAATGTGGACAGTTAAAGAACGATGGGTTCATGACGCATTGAGTTTGACATGGTTCCCATAGCAACATGTACACAATGTATAAAATCACAGGTACA